TTATGTTTTTATGACTGGCCTCTTATTAAATACTTGCTGGTAAGTTTTCAGGTTATTTTCTTAGGTTTTGCAGGTAGACAATCTTGTATTTGAAAATGACTTCTGGGGGCACCTGGGTGGCTCAGTTGGTTAAGCGGCCGACTTCAGCTCAGGTCATGATCTCGCGGTCTGTGAGTTTGAGCCCCCGTCAGGCTCTGTGCTGACAGCTCAGAGCCTGGAGCCTGTTTCAGATTCTGTGTTTCCCTCTCTCTCTGACCCTCCCCTGTTCATGCTCTGTCTCTCTCTGTCTCAAAAATAATAAATAAATGTTTAAAAAAAAAGAAAGAAAGAAAGAAAATGACTTCTGGGGCACTTAGGTGGCTCAGTCGATTTGGGTGTCTGACTTTGGCTCAGGTTATGATCTCACGGTTTGTGAGTTCGAGCCCCGCGTCCGGCTGTGTGCTGACTGCTCAGAGCCTGGAGCCTGCTTTGGATTCTGTCTCCCTCTCTCTCTGCCTCTCCCATACTTGTGCTCTTTCTCTCAAAAATAAAGTGTTAAAAAAAAAGAAAAAAGAAAAAAGACTTCCTCCATACAAAATGTAACCTCTCTTTTCTTTTCATATCACATTGCCCAGGGTTTCCAGAATAACACCAAAAAAGGTAGACCTCCTGGCTCCTTCCCTACGTTTGTGCTCAACTGTTGCTCAGATGATCATACTGTTGGCTTTTTGTTGCAGTATTTTTCTTTTCCACGTTTGTCAGTACCTTTCTCTTTAGACTTCACTAAAAACTGTCAATAGGTGTTTGTCTTTAAGTGGAAACTTAAGACAAATTAATGTTAAGGTTGTGCCAGACTTTAGCCTTAGTTTATTCAGCACCTGATTGTTCACAGTGATAAGCAACTAGAAAAAGATTTAGGTGACACCCTTACGATCTGTGCCCTTGAGAGCTGACAGCGCAGCCAGGAAATGGTTTTCAATAAAGCAGAACCACGGGCGCCTGGGTGGCTCAGCGGTTAAGTGTCAGTCTTTTGAGTTCGGCTCCAGTCGTGATCTCACCTTCGTGTCGGGCTCTTCGTTGACAACATGGAGCCTGCTTGGGATTCTCTCTCTGCCCCTCTCCCGTCCTTTCTACCTCTTAAAATACACCGTAAAAAAGATAAAGCAAAGCACTGCAGTGATGCTAAGTCTATGACTGGAAGCAGCACGGTGCTGAGAGGCCTTGTAACCGGGGGCGGGGGGTGTTGGTCCGGGACACCCGGGGAAATCCACTCAAGCCAAGCCAGGCAGGAAGAAGTCAGCTAGGCCAGGGGCAGGGGCAGGGCAGGTTTGGGGTACTGATGGGAAGGAGGGTGGGAAGTCTGTGGAACCGAGAGGAAGCGTCAGGGTGAGCGCGGCACGTGGGAAAAATCACGGCTGGAAGGCCTCAGGGCAGTATGCTGGGGGGGGGGGGACTTTATTCCAAGAGCAAGGGAGAGCGGTAGTGAGTTGGAGACGTGTTTTAAAAGACCGCCCGGCCTGCGGCGTGGAGGGGGCAGGGGGAGGGGCCACAGCTCCAGCGCTGGGGGTGGCAGGCAGCACGGGCAGGGCCGTGGGCCCCTAGCAAAGCGGACGTCTTCTCGACTTGAACTGAAGGGCCTGGGGTCTGCACGTGGGAGGAAGGCAGAGGGACGGCCGAGGTCTCCACCTCAAGCTCCCGGACAGACACCGGCGGCCGGACAGAAACACCGCGGGCCCCTCAGTGCAGAGGGCTAACAAGGAGGCGCCGGGTTAGCGGGTGTTGAGCCCAGCAGCAGAGTCTGCGTCGCAGACCTCAACGTGGACACCAAGTTGTCAAGGGCTGTCAAGCAGAATGCGGAGTAAACATTAAAAGAGGGACTGGGACTAAAACTTTGCGTCCGTCCGCATTTACGGTCTGGCTGGAAACCGGAGGGCCAGGCGTGTAGAGCCGCTGGCTGGAGCCCAGCGGCGGGGAGAGGCTCCGGGCCCCTCCTGCCTCAGCCAGCCTCTCGTCCGCTCTTCTCAGGACTCCGCTTACGAAGCACACAAAGAAGACCGTCGTGTTCTACTCGCGATGGCCTTTCAGATGAGCGTTTTCAAGACTCCGAGTCCAAGGCGGGCAGAGAAGAGCCAAGATGGGAACAAGAGACGAGTATCAACGACCTGATGTTCCTTTGAAAATGAAAGAACTCACAAATAGCATGTATAAAGAATCTACTTACTACTTTTCAAGTTATTTGACCACACGTTAAAAATTTCATTTCAAAAGACAAAGGAAAAACGAATCACAAGTGAGCTAACGTAAGAGTTTATTGAATAAATACATGCACTGTCATGTAAAATTAGTTGATCAAAAAGGACATTCTCTAATAACAATTAAAAAAAGCCCTCTGCTGTTTTCCATCTGCAGTGGCGGACAGCCCGAGTATACACGCGCATATACGCTGGTCTCCAGTGAGCTTCGGTTCCTGAAGAAAAAGGGCTGACCTCCTCACGAACACTATCTCGTAGCACAGAACAGAGTTGCCGTGAGTACAGCAACGATCTGGAACTTGGAAACACCGGCGTCACACTTCCGTACGCTAAGGCACAGGAGAAGCAACCCACATGGACAAACAGAACTCAAATCTGTGTAAGTTAATTTTCCTCCCGTTGATTCGGCTCAATACAGAGAAGTTAACGTTCCCTTTTCCTAGACGAATTGGTCATTAAGGAGCAGGGATGCCGGTCTGGGGACCCTGGAGTGCGGAGTCCGGCCGTGAGCGGAATTCTCAGTCTTTCCCACGGAATACCAGAGCTTCCCACTGACCGCTCATTTGGCCATGAAGGACAGAATCACACCTGGAAAGGTTTTTTTGTTTTACGTCCTCAGAATCGTCCCTTTCCTTCTAAAGAGAAGGAAGCCCGCTGCCAAGGTCCATCTCCAGGCTCCTCCGTCCCTGCGGCACAAGGCGGGTGTCATGCTGCCACTGGCTTTATACTCTTCCTGTACTTATTTTGCCTAATTGCTTAGAGCGCTGCATAAGGTGAATACATACCGCAAGGTGAGCACAAGGCAAAACCCAGATGTTCAGGATGTTGGTAAAAATTACTGGTATTGTAAATTCCAGTGAGCGGTCGTTCACTTTTTATAGATTATGCCAGAGGCCCTTCAACAGACTCAATTGAAAAAAAATCTTCAATAAATCTAATACCATGGACCGACGACTAGGTTTATTAAGTAATTACCTGCCTTTATCGCGCTGCTGAAACACCACCGCAGTTAAATGTTTTGTGGGCACCAATATATTCATCCACTTCCTCCTGTACATTAACATGGGAAATGGTTTATAATGAGGCTTTATAGTGAAGTTCCATCAAGTAGGAAGCAGGGAGATTACACTGGTCTTTATGATTACATGAACTGTGTTGTGAGGCTATAGGCTCCATTATATATAAACCTCCGGTTTAAAGTGTGAACTAAGAGAAGGGTAAGATCTGTTGGCAGGCAGAAGTACGCAAGGTAACAACCAGCATCCACCACAGGCACTTTGGTGTGTTTGGTCACACGGGCCGCCCACGAGTCCGTGGAGTGATTCATGGTAAGATCCCCAGTTTCAACCACAAAGCTCGATTTCCCCAATGTCCTCACACATGATTTCAGAATGTTCTGATAGCTAAGGACTCATTTGCACCATACAGCTTAACATACTGAAAACTCTTTCTGAGTCCGTGCGTGTTTCTCACAGGCGTGCACGGCTTAGACACTGCCACGGAGCCTCAACCCCCAAGAGGTCTGGGACTTGAGGATGTAAAACATGCTTTTAGTAATCTAAACAGAAAAACATATTCCAAAACAAAAACTGTATAACAATATCCCAATACTGAGGTCAGTCACGGCATAAAGTGAGGAAACCCCGGAAACGGTTAATTACAATCACCAGCCGCCGTGCTGGAACCCTGTGGCCCCAACAGTGGCCTCTGTGTTGGGCAAAAGGAAGCCAACGCCACCTCAGGGGTTCTGTCAACGTATGATGTCACACTGACGGGTGAATGAATGAGCTGTTGGTTTTTAAAACAATTTCCTCCTTACCCAGATCCACCCCACAAACTTTATGGTGACCACGTGAGCCTGTCTCTGTCTTCAGAGGCTGGGAAAACACTGAAAACTAACAAACCTTATGACCGACTATTTCACAATAGCCTAACTGCTAACACTGAAAATTTGGGTTGTATTTTAGGAAGTATAACTGTGTATCTGCGTACTATTTCATGAATACATTCTATCAAGCAATTAAGACATTTCATGTAAGAAACTTCAAGTTAGTGCACCATGATGACATGACATCCTCTTAGTATTATGTATTACTCAGTTACACATTTTTCCTTAGAAGCACTTCATCTGACTTCTCAAAAATACATATTTATATTTATAAAAGTGGTAATATTTTGAATATTTTCTTCATTCGTGATGGGCAGAACTATACTTATTTAATATTTAGTCTTTCAGCTTTTCTTTTTAAAAAGAAAATACCACAAAATTGGTCACTGAGAACTTTTCCTGCGAAGACAAAATGATTATGTGTCATAAGAATTTAATAAGTCTTAGAAAAAAAATATATTTCCTTAATCCATTTTCTTCAGAGTTCAAACCAGCAGGTAGAGATTATAAAAAATAGTCTATTTACATGGCAGAGTGTACCTCAGCGATGTACAAAACAAGGCAACAGTAAAGCATATACATAGATCTGCTTCCTCATCGATACAACAGACATACAGCCTTACGCGACACAGTAACTAACTACTACCCTATTATACGCTAGAATAACTGGCAAATACTACAGGAAATTAAACATATAAAATTTAATGATAATATTGGCCAAATATGCCTAAAACGTCAACATGTTTTATAAAACTATTAAGATATGTATAACTAAATACATTGAAATTATAAAAACAATATTGGTACGTCTGTGGGAGGGTGCGCTGCGAGCGCACGAAGGTGGTTGGCACGCCGGCGGGGCTCCTCGTGCCTGGCAGAGACTACGTCACCACGTGTGGTCTCGTGCCATCTTCTGTGAGGTCGTACCTAGGGGTGCATGGGGACATGACAAAAGACATGTGGTCAACCGGGGAAAGTGTTGTGGAATAGACACACGGGGCTCGTCCGTGCTGGGACACTCACCACTGGGTCCAGCCCTTGGCCAGTTCTTCGGACGCCAGACCGACCAACACCTGTGGGTTAAACAACACCTGTAACAGCGGGTGGAGCCCCGATCTCTCTGACCTCCTGCTGCCTCGGTATGGAACCACCTGTGTTATTCTGAGTCTCTCCCTGTCAATGTTTTTGACCCTGATGACCCCCCATGAATGATATGGCGGATCACATCCAAGAGCTCTGCCCTGTATCCAGGTCTCTCAAAGTTCAGTTATGAAGAAGGATCAGTGCTGATAATTTACAGGGATATCGGCTCACACTCCATTAGTGCCAGCACAGTGGATCCGGATTATCTGTAAGCGGGACATAATTCAAAACTCCTCTTCCCTAACTCAGCCTCTGTGTACATTTAATGTTAAAGAATATATAATCTTATGCAAGAGTTACATGTGAATTCTGACAAAGACCAGAGTAAATTCAGAGAAATAAAGGCACTAATTTGTTAGAAAAAGAATAGTTGGTTAGTGGAGGAGGCAGAACTGCAAGAGAATATTTTCCTTCATGTTTTCTTTCAATGTGACTCAACATTTCTTTAATTAAAAAATTAATCTTTTCTTCAATTATATGTTCACAGCATTTGTGTAACATGCCAATAATATTATGTAAAAACAATGAAAATAAAGTAATTTTCAAAATGTACTCATATTTTATTTTATTTTATTTTATTTTATTTTATTTTATTTATTTATTTATTTTTAAAATGTACTCATATTTTAGATGACATGGCCTTTCATGGTCCACTATTTTATAAATAAGCATTAATCAGAGAGGAAGTCCCCCCCTTTCCATTGATTTAAGTATGGTCTAAAACAATGCCCTTTGGGTAAGTGCTTAATGTTTATAAGATACAGGAACCGATCACGGTTATTTTTTAAACTTACTTTGCCAAGAAGCCCTTTGTCTTTGGACAGGAAGCCACCACTGTTCTTTACTGCTACATCCAGTGTCCTCCTCTGTACTTCTGGTAATGAAACGCTGAAATCAAAGCTGACACGGGAAAAAGAGGACCTCCCTTAAATTTCTCCATAATGTTGTTGTATTCTCATTATAACCAAAAAACAACCTTTCTGCTTACGAGACAGTTCTAAATGTTATGTTGTTTTTTATTATAAAATTGAGTTCTGTTCAATGTTTGGATCTGGCATTTCATGAAGACTCAAAAACAATTTTTGTTTCCCTTATTTTGCAAACATAACCGAAGACTCTGGCCTCCTAAGTACGTGAAAGGCCGTATGTAAGTGATAAATTACCGAATTCTACCCCTGAAACCAATACTGCATTAATATTACTAATTACTAACATTTAGTAACATGTCAACTAAAATTTAACTAAAAATTAAAAAAAAAATCAAATAAAACAACACTAAGTATGCGAAAGACCCTACTGCCTGTGGCTCCCTCGTGTATAGGGACGGGTGTTCTTTGAATGTCTGCCCTGACTCTTCCTAGTAGTTACAATGGGGGACTGTGGATGTAGGTAGGACTCACTGGTTTTCTCATCCAGGCCAAAAGACTAAAGAGCAGTGATTACAAAGCCGGGGTGAGTGAAATAAAGAAAAGTAGTATGTGATACAGCTTCATGGAAGGGAAAAGATCCGCAGTGCACTTTTTAATGGCCGAAGTCAGATGCTACAAACAAAAATGCCTCCAGGGAACCAAGTCCTCAACGCTGGCTCCTGGAGTTCAGCCACTGTGAGGCAGGGTCTCTGGCAAACCAGAGGGCAGAGGGCCTAAGGCCTGGGAGGGATGTGGCTGGAACGTGACCAGCCTTCAGGGAGCTTCAGCAGCTAGAATCCCAGACTTGCAGGGGGCGCGGGGGGGCGTTTCCGAATCCCTAACTTTGGCTGCAACTAAGTGAGAACACTGTCAAAATGTGCTCACACCAGGGACTGGTGCACACCTCCTGTCAGTTTCTGTCTGTGATTTAAAAAGAGTTGCTGGCGTGAACATATGAGAAACAACCAGTCCATTTAAAGATAAATGTAAACAAAAGTGACAGATGTTCTGACACCCTTTGACTTTATGATTTCCCAAAATGCTGTTGGTTTTTTTTAGCTGTAGACACTGTAACCTAAGGTAACGAGTTTGCAGACTGAAGCTCTTAAGGGTAGCGCAAGGCCCCCGGAGGTCCTCGAGGTGCTCTCTGGAGATCAGCACCGATGGCAGAAGCAGATATGACCTCTACTAAGACAGACCATTAAAGGGATCTCCGAAAATGTTAGACAATAATGCCATTCTTTTCACTTTTTCATTGTTTTGGAAACTAGTTGTTTTTCAGAAGAATGTTGTATTTTAAGATGTCACAGACTTATTGTTATTTAAAATAAACTTAAAATATACTTACTGTTGAATTCTTAGTTTTTATTTATAAGTCAGAAAAATCAATAGATACAACCGCCCAGAATGGAAGTTCCGCGAGGTCCACAATCACTAGTTTCCCTTCCACAGTGTGTACAGCCTGAACTTACTATGTTTAGCCACTTCTAGACCAAGTTCAAAATGTTCATTTATTTATGTTAACAAGTCCGTGTGTGCTAATCTGGAGTTTTTTCACTGATACTTCCCAACAGTGTGTTGGTTTAAATGCATTAGTCATTCAAAGGTATTGATCAAGCCTTTTTTAATTTCTGAATTCGACAGCCTACCCATCTTCAGTGAGCACCATACCTCTGGTCAAACACGGGGTTCAGTGTTTTCTTTGACACGTGTGTTTTTCTCCTTCCTGACCTCCTCTTGTCTGGTAACAAATACATGCGGACATAGGGGTCAGAGCCATCTTCAGAGAAGGCAATGAGATTTCTTACGACACAAACCAGAGAACACTCGATATTAGAATCTAGGAAAATGACCGTTAGCATCTCGTTCAAACTTCCTACTTTGATTTATATTTACTTACACCACTGAGAAGCAGAAAGGAGCAAAGTGAGTTTCTGTCCTCACCCCGTGCTAGCCTGTTGGCGAACGCAACTTTCACCTCCGTTTCTTGAGCCCAGAGTTTGGGGGACATCCTGATACTTGCTCTGCTTTGAAAATGGAAGCTGTTGTTTCTAATGTCCAGCTTCTCCCAGTGGGAGGGGATGTGGTTGGCCTCACACCAAGGGAAACCCCATCCTCAGTGCTGCCAGGCTGCTCCCCCAACTCTCTACCCTTCGTTCACCTAAACCTTTCACCTCCTTTGTGCAACCCATGCTGCTCTTCTCCTCGGACACCTGGTCTGAGCCAAACAGAGTCTAGGAGTTAATTCAACCACTTCAATTTATTCCACAATTTGCAACCACTTCAAATTATTCACTTACCGATCAACCTGAAAATCTAGTTAGGGGACTATTTGCTGAGAGTCCTCTACAACAGTAATTATCTCACAGCAAGAATGTATAAGGTGCTCAATAAATAGGTTCAGAACTGAAGTCTACATTTATACAATTTCCTATGTTTCTAACAGCCTTTTATTATTTTTTTTAAGTTTATTTATTTACTTTGGGAGACAGAGAGAGAGAGAGAGAGAGAAAGAGAGTGAGAGAGATAGAACCCACATTTTTGAGAGACAGAGCATGAGCAGGGGAGGGGCAGAGAGAGAGGGAGACACAGAATCCAAAGCAGGCTCCAGGCTTTGAGCTGTCAGCACAGAGCCCAACATGAGGCTTGAACTCACAAACTGTGAGATCATGACCTGAGCCGAAATCAAGAGTCAAATGCTCAACCCAAGAGTCAAATGCTGAGCACCCCAGGCGCCCCTCTAACAGCCTTTAATAAGATCCAAATACTTATGCCGTACATTTATATCCTAACTACTACTGAGAGAAGTCACACAGAAGGGAAATAATTAGTTGGCTCCATAGCATCATCACTAATCAAAGACAAATTAAAGCAATGCTGCCAGCTCATGTTACACTTACTAAATCAGTACGCTGCACAATAAACTTCCTGATGGGGGCAGGAGAAGATACACCTGTACCCTGGGTACCAATGCCAGCTGGCATGTTCCAGAAATAGTTTTGAAAGACTATTGGCAATACCTGTCATGATCCCATCAACCTTTTGAGATCCTCCGAATTACTGACATAAACTTACTCCTGGAAATTTAATCTCAAAGAGACACTTCGAGAAAAATGTGTTCATTACCATGTTACATGTAACTTGGACAATCTAAACATCCAGCAATACGGAATGTTGTATAAACTGCAGTAGAGCAGTTCAAGATGTAGTACAGGGGCACCGGGTGGCTGAGTGGGCTAAGCATCCGGCTCTTGATTTCGGCTCGGGTCATGATCTCACGGTTCGTGGGTTCCAGGCCCACCTCAGGCTCTGTGCCGACAGCGTGAAGCCTGCTTGGGACTCCGTCTCCCTCTCTCTCTGTCCTTCCCCTGCTCTCCCTCTCTCTCTCTCTCAAAACAAATAAAAATAAACTTAAAAAAAGGAGTGGATTACAAAGCAACCAAAATGTTTATGAACAGAAACAATGTCAAGAACAAAAAAAGAATGCAGCACTGAATACTAAGTCTGTAGTATAACATCATTACTTTGTCCTTCAAAAATGAAATGGGTTCATCTGTTTAGTGATGTCAGAGCTAACATTCGCCTCTCATCTAAAGCCCACCTGGGGGTTCCGGGGGCCCAGCTCACCTGCAGGAGTGCACGACCACCACAAGCTTGTTTCTCTGCGAGCTGTGTCGGATGGTCAGCTGGATCTGCCCCAGGGGCGACTGCCCCAGTGTCGTCCCACTGGGGAAACAAAGCGAGAGGTTATAGCTCTCCTCAGAACTGAACGGGAGTGAGTCAACTGGCACAAAAACAATCACATTACCCATGGACTTGAGCATAATCTGGACTTCTATTAATCAACCAGTCGAACTCTTATCTCAAATAAGGTTTCAACAAAACTTAATTATCCAGAACTGACAGCTTTTCCAGTGAGGGCCCATGGTAAAAAGGAGACTCAGGAGATGTCCTCATTACAAACATCGATTCTGTGGTCTCTGCAAAGCAACGTCTAGCCTGTAAGGACCCAACTCTACGTGTGCTCCCTCAAAGCCCCACATGCACTGTTGGCTCTGATTTTCCCGGCAGCCTCTCTCAGGAAGCTTCTCTCTCAGGGTTGAAGCACAGACTCCCAAGCCCGCCAACGGTTGCCCTGGTGCAATGTCCCTCAAGATCATCGCAGCTACTCCCCAAATTTAGCTCCTGGGAGAAGTGCTTTCTTATTTAAAGTTCTATCTCCTCCTAGAGCAAGAGAGGAAGGGACTGATTGCTTTCTTCTGAACGCTGAACCTGAGAAAGTACGAAGGAGAGAGCATGCTGAGTGTGGGTCACATGCGTGTGACTTCCTCAACCCCCAGGAGTGCGTTTCATCTCTGCCTCCGCTTCCTATGCCTCGACACACCTCTCGGAACAACAAACAGCAAGAACAGCTTCAAAGGGCCACTTCGTTCCTTCCACTGACGGGAAGAGGTTAACGTCTGAAGCTTATGATAACTGCAAGCTGTCTTCCTCCTTCTCTGAAGAGCCCAGGAGCACAAGTATGAATCCAAAGACTAGACAACACATGACCGGTGGTAGTAAGGGGGTACTGAGCAAACAGGACTTGTTCTTCCAACACAGACACAACCACGGCACGAAGAGCGAGCATCAGCTCTAGGTCCCGCCTCCTGGTCTGAGGACAGGCACACAGGGGCTCAGACCCTCTTCTATTCACCCCGAACCCCACTGCTTCTTGGTCCCTAGTCAGGTCCTAGAAATGGCAGGTTTATTTTAAAAGGAAAACACTCAGTGAGCAAAAGGGCAGGGACACCTCAGGCTCTTTTGGCTAACTCAAGACGACGTTAGCACGAGACGTGTGCTCTGATTGGACAAGGACAAAGGAGGGGTCTGGTTACTTCTCTAGCTGCCGCAGCCTCTGTCGAAGCTCCTGGGTGGCGATGGGCAGGGATATGTCTGAGGCTATGCTTGGAGTGGGCTCCTTAACGGAGATGTGGCTGGGGGAGCAGGTGGCACTGGTCTGGAGGCTGGAGGAGCTCCTGCCCAGGTCGCGTGGGCCTTGGGGGCTGGCCTCCACAGGCTGGGCCCCCTCTTCCACGCCAGGCTTATCGCTGCCCCCGACGACTGGTGTGCACGGGGCTGTGCTGCCATCACCGGAGCCCGGCGATGCGGACGCGTGAGATCTGACAGATATTTCTCTCCCTTCTTTGGAAACAGAGGGTCGCTTTACTTGAGCTGAGTGTTGGTGGTCTGGGGACCTTTCTGGCTTTTCAAGGTGGAGTATCTGCAAGTGGAAATAAACACAAAATTAAAATCAGTGACACTAGAATGGCCTGGTATATGAACGGCTTTAGATATATTCACTTGCCAATGTCTATTTAAAACTTGGCAAAGACATTATAAACAGTCTAGTCTATATGTCCAGCTACTCTGTTATTGGAGTGATGCCACATTATAGTAAGTAGAAAAAGGAGGGGCACCTGGGTGGCTCAGTAGGTTGAGCACCCAACTTCAGCTCAGGTCTTGACCTCACAGTTCATGAGTTCGAGCCCCGCATCTGGCTCTGTGCTGAGCTCGGACCCTGGAGCCTGCTTCAGATTCTGTGTCTCCCTCTCTCTCTCTGCCCCTCCCTACTTGTGCTCTTTCTCGCTCTCAAAAACAAATAAAAACTTAAAAAATAAAAAAAATGACTTAGTTCTCATTTTAAAAAAAAAAAGAAGAGAAAGGAAAGTTTAAGTAATCAAAATTATCGCTTCCATGATGTAAACATAATTTCTCTTCAGCCTCTTCCGTTTGCGTGCATGCTTGCACAGCTGTGGGGGTGATGTCATTGTTGGGCGAGCCTGAGCCGTGCGCCCCCAAGAAAGGATGAGAGGTGAGGGCCCCCTCCCCAGTGGGCTACTGCACACACCCAGCATGGATGCCGGAATGGCCTTCATGTCCTTCAGCTTGTGTGAGCACGTGAGCCCTTCACTTCGCTGGCTTTTCACAGCCAGTGGTAAGGTGTGCAACATTCCACTGAACAAGAGCCCACACCCCAAAACCCTGCACTCCAGGGTTGCTGCAACAGTGTCAAGTTTCCCTCCTTGTAAAAAATAAAGCTGCAGCAAACATCTTTATGTTCATGGCCTCTTTGCATTCTGTCTTCTTACTGAAGGTCAGATCTCCAGAGAACGGGTTCCTGGCCCAAGGGGCTCTATGACCCCATGGTCTGCAGACACTGCAGTCCTTTCTGCAGAAACTGCCTATCTCCAGAGTTGGAACCAAGTGCAAAGAGATCATGAACACTGAACCCTCCACAGACCGAGGTTGTTTGGATTTTTTAAAAAGTGGGTTCTTCATTTTAATTTGCATTTTATTTTATTTTAAAACAATGTTTATTTATTGAGAGAGCATGCGTGCACATGAATGCGGGAGAGGCAGAGAGAGACAGAGAGAGAGGGTCCAGAGAAGGCTCTGTGCTGACAGCAGCGTGGGGCTAGAACCCACGAACCGTGAGGTCATGACCTGAGCTGAAACCAAGAGTCGACTAAGCCACCCAGGTGCCCCTTAATTTGCATTTTAAAAATTAGTGAGTTTTAACATTTTCCAATCCATTTGCCAGTTTTATTTTGAACATTTCCTTAGGCACTCACAAGAGTCATTGTCTATTTTGTACAAAAAGTCTGTTTGTAATTTCTACCATCTTGAAGAACTGTATTAAATTTTCTGTCCTGAATGACCTTTGAGAATTTAGCCTGGCCTGCTCAAGCAATCTGGAAATACCAGCTGGGGCAGATATCTAAGTCCAAGCCTCAATTCTCTCTCCCCTGAGCACCTATAGTTGTCAGCAGTGGTTTCCTCGATCCCAGACAAGTGCCTTCCTGGCCCCAGGCTCGCAGCTATACCACGGTCATCCTCCATGAGGGCCCATGCCCTTCACTACACTCTGGAGCAGCACCCAGGAGTCAGCCAGTCCCCCCCCCCCC